TGGGTGGTATGGGTGGTATGGGTGGTATGGGTGGAATGATGCACGGAGGAATTAGTGGTATGCCCGGTGGGATGGGACCTCATATGAGATTTCCCCGAAGTGCATACGCAACTTATCTGAAAAATAAAATGCGGAAATCTTCGTCAAAAAATAATGGAAGTGTGAAGACAGAAGGGAAAAGCCGTTCCTTTGCCGAGCAAAAGACAAGCAAAACAGACTAAAGGAGAGATGCCCGCGGATAAAACTGTACGTTCAGGGAACTGAAGTGTGATTTGTAATTTTCATCCAAGAGCAACAGATGCTTCGGGTTTAGTTCTGTTAAGCAAAGTACTCAGCGATTTTCATCTCATTCAGTCATTCCTCATTTTAGTTCGTTTTGTCATACTCAATGAATTTGCTTTAACTGTTTCAAAATTGATTTTAAAAATGTTCTGCTATCTCATAATTGTGTTGTTTCTTTACTATTGTGGCATTAACTTAAATTTTTGTCTAAATAATATTGCAGTTTTGTTTTATTTTTTGTTATTATCTTTATTTTTCAATTTATCATAAAGGGTTGTCGATGTAAAAATTGTTTTATGGTTTGTTGATCTGTATTGCTGGTTTGGTTTTGTTTTAGGGAATAATAAGAGCAATGATAATACAAATGGTAAAGTTGAACAACTTTGATTTATTCTCACTGTAATACCAAAAGACGAATATTATAATCAACAAAAAAGCACTAAAAAAGCTAAAAATGTTTTAAAAATAAATATCTGTTTTTTAAGAAAATGAATGAGAGTGTAAGCGAATCTTTTCAAGAATGCTAGGAAATCAATTAGCTTTTAACAGCGTAATCCTTAGTAATTACTATGGTCAATTTGTCAAAACCTAATATAAAAGAGTTAAAACTGTTTAACGTTAAAACTTTCTACTTTACTTCAAAGTCCTTTATCTTGTAAAAACGGAACAGGTTATAACCATTTAAAAACGACTTAACTTAGCTAGAAAATGCGCTTTTTGCAGCTCTGAAAGGGTCTGATTTTCTGGTGAAAAGGATCAGTGAAGTAATCTTTCCTCGTTTTACATCTCGTCTTTCAATAATTTTTTGAAAAAATCTGAAAAGACTACTGAAAGAAATGGCCGGTTTGACGTTTAACAATTTGAAGTTTAATTTTAGGTCTACTTAAACGTCTACTTAGAAAGCATATTTGAACCATAGTTATTTTTTCAACAGCTCACCGTCTTTTGCGGCTTGGTTGAGTAAACTGAAGTTAAGAAACATGAAGTTCAAGTGTAAACACTGTATCCATTAAACGATAAATTAAGTTTCTGGAATTGAAAAGGAAAAAACCTCTAAATCATGACGATCTTTAAATGTTTTTAATAGTCTAACTATATAAGATTAATGAATAATCCTATATATATACGCTAAAAGGGAATGAATACACCATTATAAGAGGATGAGGTCACGCGATGGATCATCTCCTAAACTCGTTTCAGCTATTGTGAGAGCCACCCTTGAACATCCGGTAGGTTTTAAAAACTAAAAAGTTG